CCTGCAGCAACCTCACAAGGGAAGGCTCTTCTGAGGGCACAGGCAAGGGAAACAGCTGTTTAATCTTCTCCCTTCCCCAGACAGCTCTGCCAAGAGCCCACTGGTTCCATGATGGATCCCTGATGGACTCTCCCTGGAGTTGTTCTCTGCCAAGGATGAACAGAGCCTCCAGGCCAGTCACAACAGGGAGCCTTGGCCACTCCTTCCCAGTCAGACCATCCTCAGCTTCAAACACAGACAGTCCATGGGATCCTCCCATCCCTCCAGAAAAAAAGATGGATTCTGCCCCTTTGTCATTGAATGTTTCAGAGCTCACTGCACCAGTGCCCACAAGAGATTTATGTTCGTGTGCAGCTGATGGGCCAAACCACTGATCCCACACATCCCAGGAAACCTCAGTATCCCTTTCTGAGGCCGAGCTGATCCTGCTCCTGCTCAGGGTACTGGTTTCTGGGGCTTGTTACTGCAAAGCAGAAGTGCCTTGAGCAGGGTCAAAAGTGAGACCAGCCCTTCTCCTCTGCCTAACAGACACTGGAGCAGGAGTTCTCCTGCATAAATGCTTTTGGCCTTTGGTTTTCCTTCCAGTTTCTGGACCTGAGCTTCCACTCTCCAGGGAGGTTCCCCATCCCACTCCCTCGTGTCCAAGTCCCAGTCCCACAGATAGAACCTTGGGGTGACACCTGGGCTGTGCCACCAATGCCTTTCCCTGGAGCAGAAAAAAGTCAGCTCTTCCTGGTTGAGACAGTGGTGGGTAGGAGAGGGGAAGACATCCTTAAACTCTGAGGCATCTGCCAAGACACAGCGCCGGGGTAGGCAGTGGGGTTCCCATTCAGTTCCTGCACTGACTGGCCAATCCACCTGCACTGGGAGCCTCCAAGCCTGCCCAGCTCGTTAACCCCAGGCTCTTGGCACATGTGCTCAGTTGATGTGCAATGCCACCCCCCTGACTGGCATCTCCAAGGCAGCCTGGACCTCTCCTCCATCAATCTTCCTCTGTGATGACCCTGTGGACAGTTCTTTAATTCCTGTCAAGACGAATTCAGCACACAGATGATGTCATGGCACATATGCATCCGGGCAATAATACCCCACTGGCACACTCTGCCAGTCTCTAAGAAATGGGGCACAAAGCAGGAACAGTCCAGAGGAAAATCTTCCTGAGCACTGCTGCCTCCTTGGGCAAGTTCCAGAGCAAACAGTCAAGGCGGTTGCCTGGAATGTTTCCCCAGCTGCCCCACAACAGATCTGTTCTGTCCCCACAGTGTTCTGGAAAGGGAGAAGCACAACCTTTAATGAATGCCCTGGAACATCAAACAACAATCACCGTCATTGACAGTTCCCAGGAACCACTTCTCAGTGTATTTTTACTTCTTTGAAGACGTAAAGGCATCTGTATCATCATGGGAACAAGCTCAGGGACACCTGGGATTCCCTGTGGATCAGGCAAACCTTTCTCTGCCTTCAGAACCCAAAACAGGTTTTCAACACCACATCCTTTGATCCCCAGCTTGGGACTCCTAAAAATACTTCTCCTCATAGAGAGGCAGAGCACTAAACCAGAGCATTATTTTCTGGTCCCACGGGATGCTGGATGGATTTGGAAGTGGATGGAGATTGGGAAGCACAGCTTGAATGACTGTGGCACATATTAGACAGAGAATGTTTCCAGAGGAACCATGGCACTCTGTTTGAAGATCAACAGGGGATTGGGAGACACAGGATCCACCTCAAGAAATGGGACACAGGTATTGAAGGTAACCTGGGAAGGAGGGATTTAAACTGGGAAACACATGGTGCCGTGGTTTTGCTCTGGGCTAATTTACTTTTACACCCCCCACACAATTATTATTAGTTGAGAGAAGGTTTATGCAGACAAAAGAGAATGGATTTGGGGAAAATAATATGAACATTTATTACTAGCAAAATAAAATACTACTACAGAACTATATCTACAATAGTTTCTACTTAAGTAAAAAAGCACTATATATTTACAGAAATACTTTTCCCCCTTTGTATCAGTCCAAGGAGGAGAAGCAGTCCCTTTCTCCATTCTTAGAGCTCCAAGTCTCCTCAAATAACTCTGCAGCACTCTTGTCACAGCTGGAACTCTTTCTCTTTCTCTGTGTCGGCCTCCAGGGCTGGGCCTACCCCCCTCCTGGGCTAAGACCGGAGGCTGGGGGTTACCCAGGCTCTGAAGGTTTTCTCTTCCATGGGGCTTGCAAGGAGACACTTGCCTACCATGGATCTTCACCACAGGATTACAGGAGATAATGGCTAATGAGTCCACCCTTGTTTTCCTGTGAGGTCCCTTCCCATGGGACAACAGTCTTTGATAGACTTCTCCAACATGGTCTAGCATGAGTTCCACACATGGATCCCAACATCCCTATCCGAGCTGTTCTTGCTCCAGTGTAAGGGTCTCAAACCTTTAGTACCAGCAGCATGGATTTCTCACTCAGATCCCAAACTTACTCGAACTGTCTTTCACTCCGGTGTAAGGCTCATCCCTTCAGGGTCATAAGTTTTCAACAGGACTCTGCCTCATTTCAGTCCCTCTCATGAAGTCTCGTCTTCTTGGTACGTCCACAAGCTCCTCTGTGAACCACATGGGGGGTCTTCTCACCCCAACAATCTTCTACAGGTAGCAGAGATTATTTTTCAGTCTTTTTCCTGCTGAAGGGAGAGAGTGAAAGGGGGGAGAAACAAGTCCCCCCTTCCTACTTTTCATCTCTCTCCTCCATCTGCCAGCTTTGACCTTGGAAGTCCCTTATCTCTTCGCTGGAATTCTTCCGTAGCAGTTCTTCATCCAAGCAGTCAATCTTTTAAAGTTTTTTTTTTCTTCACTCTCTTGTAAGAGAGAAGGTGTGTTTCAGTGCTACACCTGCCCCCTGGCCCAAGCCAGGGGAGGAGAGGGCCTTGCCCTCCCCAGGCCTGCTGCCTCTTCCACATGGCTGTTGCCCCTAATTTCAATTGCACCACCAACCTTCTCTTCCGTTTTTCTTAAATATGTAATTAGCAAAGGTGTTACTGAGAGCTTTAATTGGCTTCTTGACCGGAAATCCACCTGGAGAAAGCCCTTCTCAGCCCCAGGGGCTGGCCGGCTGGGCAAAACCACGACACATGGGAAGGGCAGCGTTCTGGAGGCCACCCAGGCAGCAAGACAAGGCTCCAGTGGGGACACTTCCAGGACAGTCCAGCAGCCCCAAGGCCTGACAGGGGGGTGTCCTCTTGCAGCCCTCCTGGCAAACAGAACCTCTCCAACACTTCAGTGAAGTGCCTGGAGAGCAAAGCAAAAGGTAAAAAAAGAAACACAGAGATTTGGAGATCATGTGCCATTGGGATACTTGGATCTTCCAGAGAGATGGTGGGGTGGCTCCAGGGCTGGAGTGTTGTCATGAGCAGCTTCATGGTTTTTAGCAAAGCAGGCCAGGAAGGGGAGCAGTGGGGTTGCCCCTTCTGGAATAGAAAACCAGCCCTGAGGAATCTCTGACCCAGGACAGCAGTGAAAGGGTAGAAGAAAGACTTTCCTGTGCTCAAGGAGGATTTGGGCTGAGATCTCCTGGGCAAACTTGGCCTCCACAAGTCCATAGACTCTGTCAGATGCCTTTGGGAGAACTGAGGAAGACACCTCATGGAGGCCATTGCTGATCATCTCTGAAAGGCTCTGTCAGTCAGGACAGGGGCCTGAGGGCTGGAAGAAAGCCAGTGTCATCCTACTCTTCCAAAAGGGCAAGAAGGACCCAGGGAGCTGCAGGCCTGTTAACTCCACCTCCATCCCTGGACAGGGGCTGGAATGGCTCATCCTGGAGGCCATCTCTGAGCACGTGGATGACAGGAAGGGGATCAGGAGTAGTCAGCATGGATTCACCCAGGGACAATCTTGGTTGACCCACCTGATTGCCATCTAGGAGGGGACAGCTGGCTGGCTGGCTGAGAGCAGAGCTGTGGGTATTTTGTGTCTGGAGTTGAGCAAGGCTTTGGGCACTGCCCCCACCTCTGGGCTCCAACCTGTCCTGAGGGCAGCAAGGGAGCCCCAGGTGAGTGGGGTGCCCCAGGACCTGCTCCTGCTCATCCCCCCAGCTCTGCCCTCCTCTGCCAGGCCTGAGGAGAGCCCAGGTGTCCAGGCTACCTTAACCTGCCCTATTCCCAGACTACCTGGATCAGAGAGGGCTGCAAAAGCCCTGCTGCCTCAGGCCATGGGTAAACAGGGCTTATCAGGCATCCTGGGAGGAGACAAACACCCCTCCTGCTGACAGGGGAGCTCTGTTTGCCCAATTAGCTCCAAGCGGCTGCCTGGGGACAAGCACCCTCTTTACCCTGTCCCTCTGCGTAGCCACATCCTGCCAAGGGCCAGTGCTGGCATGGGCCCATGGCCCTGGAGAGACACTGTATGGGGACAAGGGCCTGTGGGGAGCTGTGGCCAAGTTCCAGCCAGGGAAAGAGTTGAACTCAGAGCCCTGGAATGTCCCAGAGGGAAAGCTCTGGGATGGGAGGGGCACCAGGACATGGGGGAATCGGCCTCTGGGGGCTGTTGATGAATGGATGGTGTTGTATTGGGGATTGTCCCCACAGGGTATCCAGCTGCTTTCATCTTCCTGTACACCTCCCTTGGCACCTCCAGGTGCCTGGGCCATTCCACGGGCAGCTGCCTCGTGCAGGAAGCTGGACGGATGCTGCGGAAGGTGGCTGGATCCGTGACGCAGGCAGGATGGACTCTGTGCCAGGGCTGGGCTTGTGACCAGGGCTGGGGTCTGAGCCCAGCCAGGATTTGCCCTGTGGGCTCTCGTGGAGGGGGCAGGGAGGAGTCCTGGGAGGGATAAATGTGCTCCTCTCCCTGTGCAGCCTCACAAAGTGCTCCCCAGGGTGAGAGGAAGATGAAGATTGCTGTGCTCAGCGTGGCCCTGCTCTTCACCATCCTGCTGAGCCCCCTGGCAGATGCCTGGATGGGTCTCCCTTTCCACCAGGATCGCTTCAGGGATGGGTTCAAGGTTGGGCTCAGGGTTGAGCCTTTTCACCCCGACGTCGGCTCTGGTGGAGGACTGGATCGTGGTGGTGAGCAGGAAAATACTTGTCTTGGCATCTCCCTTTCACCATCCAGGGTCCCCTCCATTGTTCCCTCAGATTTTCTTTCTCACACGAGAGTGCAGCCATGGGTGGGGTGAGGGTGGGGACACCCATGTCCCCTCACAGGCCCACAAGGGCCAATCCTGATCAACCCTTTGCTCTCCTTCCCCAGACCATGATCCACACAGGTTGGCATTCCAGTATCCTGGTAAGTCCTGGAGTTGGGGAACATGCAGTGTGGGAATTGTGGGACAGTTTGGTCCCCCCATCCCTTACTGAGACTGGGGACACCCCAGTGACCTCTCACTGTCTCTCTGCAGGGAGACATCATCGGGGGAGAGATGAATGGCCAGGTGGGTACCAGGAGTTGTTCTGGACCCAGACCCTCCTCTCTCATGGCCATGACCCTCCAAGGCACCCCAATGCACCCCAGTGTTCCCCTTTCTCAGGGCCCCCACTGTAATCCCATCCATCCTAGTACACTCCAGGATACACTCAGTGCATCATTTCCCATTCATTTCCTTCCCACTTTTCCCCCAGTCCTTTCCCTTTCCCATTGCCCATGACAGTGGTGTCCCCAAATCCTCTTCCTTGACACCCTGTCCAGTCCCTCAATTTTTGTTCCCTGCCCCTTCTGCCTTCCCCCGCCACCCATGTCCCCTCCACTGGAATTCCTTCCTCCTCACCTGCATCCCCCACAGTCCAGTCCCTTTGACACCCCTGTCCCCATCCCTCAGAATCCCCAATTTCCCCTAGTTTAACGCCTCAGGGTCCCCTCCAATCTCTTACTGGAAATAGGGACAGTGACACCTCACGTCTCTCCACAGGGAGAGATCAAAGCCAGTCAAGCGAAGAAGTCCGAGGTGGGTACCCCAAGATCTGCTGTGCCCAGACCCTCCCCTGTCATGGCCACAATGCTCCAGGGCATCCCAGTGTGCCCCAGTATGCCCCAGTACACCCCAGTGTATCTCTAACCCCGTCTTTCTTTCCAGCCCCCCGTGGCTGACCAGGTGGAGCTGCTCCTCCAGGTGAGAAATAATGGAGGGTCCTCTTCCCCTTCTTCCTGGAGGGGGTCCTGTGGGATCCCGGAGCTCTGCGGGGTGGGCAGAGCTTGGGGAAAGCAGAGGGGGCTGTCCCTTATCCATGTCCAGGGTGAACTGGGCAGAGCTACCTCCAAGTGTTTCCTTGCACTCAGGGGGCTTCAGGGTCACTGTCAGGGCAGTGAGGGGCTCTGGGAGATTTCAGGGCATCCAGGGGAAGAGGCTCTGGTGGCCCCACAGATCTTGGGAGCCAGTTCTGTCCCGGGTATATCCAGGGTTCCAATTCCCTTCTTCTGCCCCAGGTCTCTGCAGAGAGAGGGTCAGGACAAGGCCCCTCTCATGTGCTGGTGGACACCAGTGGTCCCATTTCGGGCTCTGTCTTTCAGGATTGGAACTGATGGTGACACCCCATGTCCGTCTCCCTCCAGCGGTATGAGGATATCTCTGGAGGACACCCTTGATCCCCAGAGTGCCCTGGGAATTTCCCTGAAATGATCAATAAACAAACCCCTTCAGCAAAGCAAATGCATTGTATGTCCATGTGTGTGTTCCAACATCCATGTGTCCCCATGCCTATATGTGTGTCCCCTCCCCTCTCCAGCCCCTGCACACCTGGTGCCTCTCTGACCACACACCCACCATGAGCAGAGTGGCTCAGGGCTCTCCTGGGGATCTCTGTACATGAGATCCCTCTCACACTCTTAAGGGAACTTCCCAGTCTCACCACTCCCAAGACTCCCTGGCAGTCACTCTCCCACCAGCCCACACTGGCACTGCTGACACTGAGGCCCCTTCCCAGCAGCAGCATCTCCAGTGACCTGACGGGTTCCCTGTGACTCCCCACACCCCCCCACTCTCACAGTCAGACCAGGTTTCCTCCGGTCGGGGAGGGACCATCCAGTGAGGAGTTGGACGAAGGTTTACCCAGGGAGAGGTAAGTATTTTGTGAACCCCCTTTCGGTTGGGAGGGGGACCCGAAGTGCAAATAACTGAGACGTCCGTCGGACGAAGTGAGTGCGGACCTTCCGGTAGTGCGTTTCCCGTATCCCACGAGGGACGGGGCCATGAAAGAAGGAAAGCGAGTGAAGTGTGTGTGTGTGAGAGAGAAAGCACTTTGGAAGATGGGACAGAAGAAAAGTAAATCTTCTGCTCCCATGGGTGGCTGTAAATTAGTGCAGGACAGCCCTAAGAGTGAGGAAAAACCCAAGGAGGAGGGTGGAGGTGGGGATCACAAGGAGAAATTACAGGATACCCCACAGGAGAGGAAAAAACTTGAGAATGAATCTGTGATAAAATTACCAACCATACCCCCAGACAGTCCTTTAGGAGTTATGCTCAAATGTTGAAATGATTATCCCTCTAGAAAAGGGAAGTTAAGAGAAAAGATGGTGCATTATTGCATGGAGGTATGGGGGGGACAACAAATAAGACAGGATCATTTGTATTGGCCAGTATATGGCTCATTTGAGGGCTGGATATGTCAGGCTTTAAATCTGTATGTGAATAACAAAGAGTCCTTTTGTGCAGAAGAAAGTGAGTATGCTAGTTTATGGATTAAATCAGATATTACACATCACTTGTTTCCTTTAAAGGAAACAAAAAAGCAGAAAAAGAATGATTGGGATCTGGAGGATTTTCAAAGATACCCTCCACCATATATCCTGCCCCCGCCACCACCTGCACCCGTTCTAGCACAGGCATTTCAGCCCTCTGCCCCAACAGGACCAGAACCCCCTTTATCTGAGGACTCTTCACCTCCCTCACCTAGTGGAAGCAAGAGAGTGACGAGAAGCCAAACCAGGGAAAAACAAAGGGTGGAAGGTCAGTTATATCCTTTAAGAGAGATTGCAATGGGAGGACAAAATGCTGGGTTAGGATTTGTGTCGGTCCCTTTAAATTCAGGGGATGTGAGAGAATTTAAAAAAGAGATGGGGAAATTGTTAGAAGACTCCATAGGAGTATCTGAAAGATTTGACCAGTTTCTAGAGCCAAATATTTATACATGGGAGGAAATGCAAGCAATCCTGGGAATATTATTTACAGTGGAAGAACGAAGTATGATTAGAATGGCAGGAATGAAACACTGGGACCAGACGCATCGACAGGGTCCAGCTGCCGATACTAAGTGACCTCTTCAGAGACCTAACTAGGATAACCAGGATCCAGTTCACAGGGCTCACATGACTGATTTAAGGACTATCATAGTCCAGGGAATAAGGGAGACAGTCCCTCGAGGACAAAATATAGATAAAGCCTTTAAAGAATATCAGAAGAAAAAAGAAACACCGACAGACTGGCTGGAAAGATTAAGAAAAAATTTCCAGCTTTATTCTGGCTTGGATCCAATGAATGATGCGATGGGGGGAGCTATGCTCAAAATGAAGTTTCTGCAAGGATCATGGGAGGATATTCAGAGAAAATTGGAAAAAAGTGATGATTGGCAAACTAAAGGTTTGGATGAGTTGTTAAGGGACGCTCAGAGGGTATATGTACGTAGGAATGAAGAAAAAGAGGAAGAAAGACGAAGGAAAGAGGAGGAAGTGAAGAAGAGGCAGGAGGAATTACAGAAGAGACAGAAGGAGGGACAGGAGGAATTACAGAAGAGACAGGAAGAAATGCAAAAGAAACAGGTGAAAATGCAGAGAAGGCAGACAAGGATTTTGGCGGCACCTATACGAGAAGGACAAAGAGGAGGTGGAGGTCAGAGATGAAGGATCCCTCATGGATCCGGCAGACGTGAATTGTCAAGAGAATGTGACCGACCAAACCTAAGTGAATTAGAGTGTTACTATTGTAGTCAAAAAGGACATATGAAAAGAAACTGCAGAGAAAGCCTGAAGTATGAGCAGATTTATAAAGAAGATTGAAGGTGTCAGGGGACCCAAAAGAATATCGAGCCCTTGATAAAACTCAAGATAGGTCCCCAGCAACAAGAACTCGAGTTCCTAGTGGAGTTGGGGCCAGAAAGATCTACTGTCCAAAAACTACCTTGGGGTTATACAACTTCCTCTGACACAGTCCAAGTGATAGGAGCTAAAGGAGAACCTTTTAAAGTACCCCTTATTAAAGGTGTGGAGATAGAAGCTCAACATAAATATGCATTAGGAACATTTTCGCTAGTCCCTGAGGCTGAATATAATTTATTAGGGAGAGATTTAATAATAGAACTGGGAATTAATTTAGAAGTAAAGGAACAGAAAATACAAGTCAAAATATATTCCCTTACAGAGGAAGATGAAAAAAGAATAAATCCTGAAGTATGGTATACCCCTGATTCTGTGGGAAGCTTAGATATAAAACCATTTGAAGTCTCTATTAGAAATCCAGGGGAGCCAATAAGGGTAAAGCAGTATCCTATCCCTCATGAAGGGAGAGTTGGACTTAAATCCACTATGGAACGGCTCTGAATGTAAAGATTGCTGGAACCATGTATGTCACCCATAATACACCCCTCTTGCCAGTAAAGAAACCTGATGGGTCTTATTGATTGGTGCAAGATCTAAGAGAAGTAAACAAATGGACAATTACTCGGTTCCCAGTAGTGGCAAATCCCTATACTTTATTAAATCAACTATCCCCTGAACACAAATGGTATAGCATTATTGATTTGAAAGATGCCTTTTGGACCTGTCCTCTTAAAGAGGTCTTGCCTTTGAATGGGAAGACCCTGACACTCATAGAAATCAGCAGCTTAGGTGGACTGTTCTGCCTCAGGGATTCACAGAGTCCCCTAACCTATTTGGACATAGTTGTTATGGCTTTGCTAGTCAAGGAAGCTGTAAAAGTAACTTTCGGAGGGGAATTAAAAGTTTTCACCCCTCATAACATAAGGGGAGTGCTGCAGCAGGGAGCTGAGAAATGGTTAACAGATAGCCGGCTGCCTAAGTATGAAAGCATCTTGTTACACTCACCCAAGCTGCAACTAGAAGTGACGAATCTACAAAACCCAGCCCATTTCTTAAACGGAGAGCCTAAAGGAGATCTGGTACATGATTGTCTAAAAGTAATAAATCTTCAGACAAAAATTAGGGACCATTTAGAGGAGGAGGAGTTGAGTGAAAGGGAGAAATTATACATCGATGATTCATCTACAGTGGTTAATAAAAATCGAAAGTCAGGATATGCAGTAATAGACGGAGTAACCTTTCAAGTCCGAGAATCCGGACCCTTAGATAAGACTTAGTCAACTCAGGCTTGTGAATTATATGCGCTGTTGAGAGCTTTACAACTGTAAGATAAAAAGACAAACACTATATTTACAGATTCTAAGTATGCATACAGGGTGGTTCATACTTTCGGCAAAATATGGGAAGAAGGAAGACTAATTAATACACGAGGTAAGTAACTTATTCATGAAACTCTAATTTGAGAAATTTTAAAAGCTCTCAAATAATTGGGACACCTATTATATTACCTTTTTATTGTGAATTAGAAATTGATTTCCCAGAGCCTCCTAATCTCCTTGGAATACCTTGTGTTAAACATCCTTATTTTGGACTTTATAGTTGCTTAATTTGTGAATGTATAAAATGTAATAAACAGTGGTATTGTGTCTCACTGAAGGAAATCCACATTGCCCATGTTGTAGAAAGAATGAAACTAAAACCATCAATTGGAATGAATCTAACAGAAAACTACTAGCTAAAGCAAAAGTCTGCAAAATATTTTGTGGATGGGAATTAAAATTAAAAAAATAAAATACAAAATACATAGGCAATGTATTTATAAACCCATGGAATTAACTAAGAGACATTCTGAGACAGTAAAATAGAATACAAAAAGTGTTAAACATTGAAATAGAATTTACTAACATACCGAAAACTACTCAATTAAACAATATTGGTGGAAACTTAGCCCAATTAAACTTAGAAGTACAACTTCAGAGATAAGATATGACCCATTAGTAATAGAAGATTTCATCAGGTGGGTCCCAGTCTGGGAACACGATCAGTGGGAAGACTAGTATATTACTAATGCCCGAGTAGTAAAGTCATACACTAATCCTCCTAACTTGCACATCAACACACAGAACCCTTACCCCAGTCGGATCAAGTTTAACAAGTAAATAGCATTTTGAATTCTAATCAGTAGTGAAGAAAAAGAATTAAAACTACATACACACTCCTGAAGAATATCTCTGCTGCCAAGAAGAACTGATACCCCGTTGCTCCCTGCAAAGGAGTAGACGAAGGGAAGGCAGAGAGATACTATGGTAGAGTTATTTGCCTATAACTGATACCACTGATGTTAGAGAATTAAATTATTAATTACTAAAGTGACCAAATTCTTTATCCTTATTCTGAATTTGATGCTTGTAAAAATCACTGTAGAAAATTTGCACCAACTGTGGAAATGGAATATTATTCAATTAGATGATATAAAAACTATTAAAGAATTGATAACCACAAGTACCCCCACACGAATTACGTAATGAACTTGAGAAAAAAAAAAAAAAAAAAGAGAAACACAACAAAGTTGGTTTGAATCTTAATCAATTCCACTGGCTAATACTTTTACTAACCACCCTAGCAGGGCCTTTAATAACACTACTAGCAACGTTAACCTTTAATCCATGCATTCTTAACAAAGTAACAAAATTCGCCAGAGAAAGGATTGAAAACATACAACTCCTGACTATAAAACAAAATTACGAGATTATGAATGGCAATCCTAAAAGTGAGGAACAAACTAACAATATGCACCTTAACACTGCAAAGCTGTATTATGAAGACATGGGGAGTGGCAAAAAAGCAGAGCAGTCTTCTCTGTTGAGAGCAGCTAAAGAAGCTGTAAAAAGATTTGATGAGAAAATTTATGAATAAATAGAGGTGGGGAATTGTAATGAGTAGTAGTGGTTTAATTTACTCATCAAATTAGTAATAGTGGCTTACTCATTAAACTGTAGTGCATGTTATATTCTTATATATATATGTCATTATAATCACTGTTCTGTTACAGGTAAGAAACTGTAAGTTGTAGAATGGTTCATTAATCTATCAGCATTGTAAGCTGAAAAAGCATGAAGTTTGCAGTTCTAAAGCTAGAAAGACAAACCATTGTGCCTTGTTAAGTAAATACTTTTGTATCTTATTTTTCTGAAAAGCTTATTGTCTCACAACACGCATAAAGTAATGAAAGAAAGGACAAGGATTGAAGAGTCAAGAACTGAAACGATACAGAATATCCAAGATGGACATCTGGAGATGCCTGCATGCTAGGCCTCAAGGTCTAGGGACTGATTGGAACTATGGGAGGAGAAAGCACCTGGCAACCAAAGTGAGAATGCAGAGAGGCCAACCAGAATCAGACCTGCAAAGCTCAGATCCAGTAGAAAAACAACAAGTGACAATGGGAGGGAAACCAATAAGGGAATAAAAGTTACTGTTTTTGTTCACTGCGCTTGCGTGCCGTGAGTGGAGCAGGAGACTCCCCGGCCGCCCAGCATGTTGTTTTGCTTATTTGCATTTTCTATAAATCTTCAATAAATTTTTATTACTATATTTCAACTCAGTTTCATTTTACTTATAATATCCTCCTCCCCAGGGCAGCTCCGGGCTCACGGCATCCCCCGAGCTGCCCCAGAATCCTCCACGGTGTCTCCCAATCACCCCCTCAGTGGCGATCTCGCCCCACCCGTGCTGGGTGTTCCGGCGGGGCTGCCAGAACGAGGGTGCCACAGCTCTGTCCAAGGGGGCACATCTGCGGCTTTTCCTGAAATTCCAGGAATATAAAAGCTCCGGAGACGCCACTTCAGAACCATCAGTCTTTATTAGCGGTTGATTAAGACCTCCCTGAGGGACCGTAAGGGAGGGAAGCAAATTAATCACTGTCATGCAGCAAAGTGCGGGGGGGCACTTCTCTCCCGGCCATTCCCACCCAACCAGCGCGGCCTCTTCCCGGTGGCTGCGGTGTCCTAGGGCGCTCCCTCATGGTAACAGTGTCCCTCCTGGTGTCCTCTGACCCTCTGATGGTGTTTCTGCTGGCTCTGTGTGACAGCAACCGCCCCAGGCCTGAAGGTTTGTCCCCAATGCTCCCTTCGGGTTCTCCTAGTCCCTCCTGGTACTGTGGTGATGTCCCTCCTGGATCTCCAGCCATGTCCCTCCTGCCCCCAGCAGTGATGTCCCTCCTGCCCCCAGCAGTGATGCCCCCCCTGGTCCTTCCTATCCCCTGGTGATGGTCCCTCCTGCTCCACGCAACCATATCTATCCCTCCTGATCTTGCAGCCATGGCTCTCCTGGCCCTGTGGTGATGTTCCTCCTGGGCCTTCAGCCATGTGCCTCCTGGATCCCACATCTGTCCTGGCTCCAAGCAGTGATGCCCCCCTGATGTCCCCTCTCTTCCCTCTTGGTCCCATGCAATAACAACCCTCCTAGTCCTTCCTGATCCATGATGACATCCCCCCTCATAGCCCCTCTCCAGAGCCCACAGCCATTCTGTTCTTAGGAAGGGAGGTGGATCCTGCCCTTTTCCCAGTGGAGCTGGGGTGTTGTGGGGTTTGGGTCTGCAAGGGAAAGGCCACAGGGCCAGGGCCCCCCTGCCCAGGTACAGGGACACCGGGACTGGATTGTCACCGGGGTGGTGGCACCCCCTGTGGTCCTGCAGCAGGAGGATAACGAGGGGGTGCAGATCCAGCCCCAGGGGCTGCCAAAGCCCCAACACTCCTCACTGTGGCTTCATCCCAGCTCCCAGCAACTTTCCCAGCAGTTCCATTCCCAGCTCTGTTGACGGGGAGGCTCTGAGACATACATACATGATCTATGAGATCTAAAATATGTCACATTTATTAGGATAGCTCAGGGTTTTTATAGCATCTGTATACAAGGTCTCGTGACAAGAAGCACATAAATGGTTACAGGTCACTGTCCAGATGTAAACATGCATTACAAATACCTTTATAATTGGTTATTAACAGGTAACAAGGCAATTATTTACTTTATCAAACTCCACCTTCTTCTTGGCACTGATTTCCTTTTGTTCTAGCAAAGACACCCGCGGCCATCTTGACACCTATAACTTTTAGTACCTATAAAACTATATGAAAGTTTATAAAAGTACCACACACAATATATAAATTGCTCACACATTCATCATGTTCCTCCCACAAATCCCCTTTTTTGTTTTTGAGTAATTTATATGATACTACAATACATTCTTATCATACTTTTAACATATTATAACACACAAGTACATATACCCATTACCATTAAAAATAACACCTTCACACACTTATCATTTATTATTATCTTATAATGCCAAAACTTAACCCATACTAAAATTTAATGGGTAATACATTAGGTTCACACAAAACACTCTCTTAAATTCTCGACTTCTATGATTATATGATATTACACTATAAACTATCTTATAATACTGAAAAAACTCTGTAATTCTGAATAGCTTATCTACCACAATATCAACCTTGTTCTGCAGAATCGCTCCCTTTCCAAGGTCTTATCCAACATGTAGGCAGCCACCGAACTCCTGTATCTGTGAGGAAACAAGCATATCCTCTACCAGTTAGTTTTACCTCTGCAGGTCCCTTCCAGACCCCGGTTTGTGGGTCCTTGTACTGAACTTTCACTGTTACCTGTGGATTTACCAAACCTGACTGCATAGAAGTGTTATGAATTACAATAGGAGGGTCTGATCTTCCACCCGTCAACCGTGAAAAATTTAAAACATATAACACTTTTGCAAGTTGGTTATGTGGGCTATCCAGCTCTTTTCCCCCTTTCTGTTTTTGCAAAAGTGATTTCAGGACTCCATGAGCCCGCTCGATGATGGTTTGTCCTGGAGGAGAATGAGCTATTCCGGTAACATGAGAAATACCCCAATTCATGCAGAATCTGCGAAAACGCTGTGAGGTATAACCGGATCCATTATCAGTCTTAATTTCTGTGGGGACTCCTAGGGCCGCTATACATGCATGCATATGACGAATGACATATCTGGCACCTTCCCCAGCATGAGCAGAGGCCCATATAGCAGGAGAAAAAGTGTCAATGCACACATGCACATACTTCAATCTTCCAAACTCATTAACATGAGTGACATCCATCTGCCAAAGCTGCAATGCTTGTAAACCACGAGGATTGACCCCCAAGCCAATGCCCAGCCCATTTCTGTGGCAGGCTGAACAAGCTTGTACAATACCACGTGCATCTGATAGAGTTAACCCAAATTGTCTGGTTAGGACTTCTGCAGACTGATGGAAAAATTCGTGGGACAAGACTGCTTGTTGAAATTTATTCACAGCAGGACCGGCCCATGCAGGTGCTACTAACTTGTCTGCCCTGTCATTATCAAGTGTTAGACCACCATGCAGTTTCTGGTGACTCCTGATATGAGTGATAGAGTAGGGATGTGTTCTCTGGTTTAACAAATGCAACAACTGTGTCATGAGTGCTGCTAAGATCTTATTCTTCAGGGTTTTGATCATTGCCCTCTCTATCCTCTGAACTGTTCCCACTACATAGAGAGAATCAGAAACTACATTGAGAGGTTCTTCCTTCCAGAAGTTGAAAGCCCACACTACACCCCGCAATTCAAGGGTTTGCAGTGTGTTACCTGTAACACCTGGAAGCAATTTGTGTTTCCACTCTGTTCCCTCCTGCCAGGTCACTGCTGCTTGTCGAGATTTTCGTCCAGCATCTGTAAAAACAGTAATCCCCTCCACAGGATCATCTGAACGCAACACAAGTTGTTCAATAATCTGATGTTGTAACAAAGGCAGCAACTTGTCTGACGGATAATGATAGGTGACCAGTCCCTCAAAATCCGCCATAGCTATCTGGAATGGTTCAGATTTCTCAAACCACCTCTCTAAATAGCTCTGAGTGACTGGCACAAATATTACAGATGGATCCCTCCCAGTTAAATCACAAATCCGTCGCCTCCCCTTTATGACAAGTTGTGCGAACAATTCAGGTCGTGTCATAATTGTCTTTTTGGGTCGATAGGTTAGGAATACCCATTCTAAAATTCTTATGCTGACTGCTATTTGACAGATGACACCTAATGGATGTTGTCTATTCCCTCCAGAGTTGACAATTAGATACTGGACTGGCTGATCTTCTAGTATTCTACAGGCGTACCCTGCAGCTATTTTACCTGAGATGTGAACTATAGCTGCTTTTTGCACATCTGACAATTCTCTCCGAAGCTCCGCATTAGCAACAGACCCTAGCAAAGGCATTAGAGGAGTTAGATCATCGTTGGTTATCCCACAAACAGGTCTTACCCACTGTCTGTCACCAAGTAGCTTCTGCACATCAGTCAAGGTTTTTATGTCAGTGTTAATGATTAACTTCTGTGGTTTCACAATACCAGATGTTATGGTCCAACCTAGATACTGCCAAGGCTCTTGTCTCTGAATCTTCTCAGGAGCGATTTTCAGACCATGCTGACCTAATTCCTGTTCTAACTGCAACAACAACACAGGGATATCTAAATTTTGGCCTGCTATTAGAATATCATCCATGTAGTGATAAACTAATAGTTCAGGATGCTGATTTCAAAATGGTTGCAAAGCCCAAGTAACATAGAGCTGACACATCACAGGTGAATTCTTCATCCCCTGTGTGAGAGTAACCCATTCAAATCTTTTTGCTGGCTCTGCTTTGTTCACTGAGGGTACTGAAAGGCAAATTTTGCAGTATCATCTGGATGCAAGAAGATAGTAAAGAAACAATCTTTCAGATCTATTATCAGTATAGCCCAATCATGTGGAATCATTGTAGGAGAGGGTAAACCTGGCTGTAAGGTTCCCATATCCTCTATGACTGCATTAATAGCCCGTAGATCATGCAATAGTCTCCATTTCCCTGACTTCTTTGGAATGACAAATATAGGAGTATTCCATGGGCTTGTAGATGGAACAATGTGACCTGCATCCAATTGTTCCTGAACCAGTTGTTGCACTATCTGCAGCCTGTCTTCCTTCAGCGGCCACTGATCGACCCATATGGGTTTTTCTGTTCTCCACTTCAGCTTCAAGGTTGGCTGCTTTTCAGTGGCCGCTCCTAAAAAGGAGAAGTAACAAGGCATGCTCCCATCTGACCTAGCAGGTCTCGACCTATCAAACCCACTGGCAAAGATAACACATAGGGCCTTGTACTCACTGATGCACCGTCAGAAAAATGAAAGCTTACCACATATCTACTGATCCACATCTGCTGTACACCACCTACCCCTTTCACTCCTGCAGTTGCCATTCCCACAGGCCAGGTGTTAGGCCATTTGTGTCTGGGGGTGATGGTAACATCCGCTCCAGTATCAACGAGCATAGTCATAATGCTGGACTGACCATTAGGATGCTGCACAACTACACTCTCCTCAGGCCCTCCCTGCTTTATGTCTATGGCCAACATCACCTCAGGAGGACCTGTGGAACCAAAACCTTCATCCCCTCGAGCCCGTGGTTCTGCCTTGGGCACCACTGCCTTGAAAGGTATCCGCTGTGCTATTTTGCTGTTAGCAGGAATGAAAACTGGTGGTGTTAAAGTATATACCATGATTTTGATGACTCCTGTAGTATCAGTATCTATTACTCCTTGCACTACAAAAATTCCCCAACGAGACAAAGATGAACATCCTAACAAGAGAGCACTTAACCCTTTACCTAAAGGTCCTTACAATGTAGAAATACTCTTAGGTTAAAAACTCTTTTAATACCTATGTAATGCATTACCAAGCCTACAAATATATATATATATATGCATATATAAACCCACACAATACTTTTCTCTTGCACACAATTGTCTTTCAAACATTCATAAGGTGGCCACCGCATTCATACCTCAATCATACATGCTTTCACACAGTGAAGCTTTTGGTTTTGATTATAATACGATTTATATGCAATTCCCCATAGGAGAGGCTTCATCTTCGAAGGGTCAGCAGGCTCACAAAATAGCAGGCGTCCCTGCAAAAGGCAATGTTGACCTTCATGTAAAGCCTGAAAACCTTGAGCATGAGCCATCTGCATTTTCTATTTAAAAGTTCTCACCATCTTTCTGTTTCTGATGGTCAGCAGTCAAATGATTGCCATAAGAATTTATACACATTTAATACATATTAGTAAACACTCCCTATAATAGAGACTAATTGGGTTTTGATAAACAAATTAAAGCTATTACAGGAACACCTTTTGTACTGTTCTAGACCAACCTGTTTACAGGGCAAATCAGTTTGTGTGATATAACCTGTGAAAAAATTATTTTAAACCTTTTAAACAATATACCCTTTGTATTACCCACTAATAATCTGAAATCTCACTGAAGAAAGAAAAAAAAAAAACAACAGGATTAGTAACCTATAAACTGCAAGGCTTAAAATATCAATTTAAATAATTTAGAAAAAACTCATTTTTCAATGCTATTTTGTTTTCCACATTCCAGTGAGCAAAACGATTTTACACTTAAATTAACAAACTGACTTCTTTTTGCTATATGACTCTTCCCTTTTCCTGATGCTAAGGGCCACTAATGCCCCACTGGAGCAGCCACAAAAGCTGCTTTTTCTTGTTCAACCACCCTTCCAGCCGCCTCGAGGGGCTGGGCTGCAGGGTTTGACGTGTTTGAGTCAAAACACTGTGTAGTTTGCGTCTTTGCTGCTGTTGTTGTTTTCAGCAAACAGGAGTAGGGTCGCAGCTTGTACTGTTGACGCCGCTGTTGCTGCCGGTGTACGGCCACTGTGGCGCGGGGGAGATAACACCCCAGGGCGCCGGAGCCGCTCCCGCTGCTCTCTGCGCTTCTGTGTTCCGCACCCTCGGTCCCGGGGGCTGTCCCGGTGTTCCGAAGAGGAGTTGATTCACGTTCTTCCCGCTTTGAGAGAGAGGACATTTCGGCGGAGATGCGACTGCCAGCGCATGCGCGACGTTAGTCACAGGCACTTCACTCGTAGTTACCGCTGTCGATGACGTAATGGCCGGCTCCGTGCCTGACGCATGCGCGATGATTACCGCTGCCAGATGCTGTTGCCACTGACAACGCGGGGGCAGTGAGGAGGGGGAGAGCTGCGGGCTGCGCAGGCGCAGTGACCGCTCCACCCTTGCTCTCCGCGGTTCTTGCCCCCCCCACCACAGCTGGAACCAAGCCAAGCCGCTTTCTCGCCGCCATTGGCATGGGCGCGGCCGCAGCACCGAACACCAGCTGATCCGCACAAGTTTTACTTTCGGAAACTTTCGCTTTCACCCCGCTCTCGCCATCTAAGGCTGCGCGCACCGATAAAGACAATCGCCTCTCGGCTCCCGCCTCCCGCAACGCGTCCACCAGCAGACGACACAGAGTAGGAAACTTTTTAACAGCTTTAGACCCTCTTGAGGTCTCTTCCCACAGTTTCTGTTCTAGAGAGTCCCAAATAGACACTTCAAAGGCCGCAGAAACACCGGGGATAAGGTCCTTAGCCCTGGACCATTCCAACAACCCTCTAAGGGTGGCACATTCATAATAAAAGTCCTTTTTATAAAGGATAGTTTGAAGAAGCTTTTCCACCGCCTCCTCCTCTTTTGAGAGGACGGTCCCCATCTTGCTTCTCCTTTTCTGGCTACTCGCCTGATCAGGGCGAGATTCCCACAAACTGCTTACCGCGCGGATTTTTCAATTCCAGACGCTGGGGTAACGTCACCGGAATTCCAGACAGCTTCTCCCTCCTTCGTCCAGTTCGCTTCCACGTCCTGACCGAACAGCGAACCCAAAGTCTCGATTTCACACTGCCGCTTTTAACACCATCTCTGGCTAAACTTCAGAGGGGCAGCGAATTTCGCTTTTAAGACCTTCCTGGCTAAACTTCTGTTATAGTCAAATGACCAGATATAAATTTTTTTCTTTTAAATATATTGTAGAAATTTATTGAAGGCAAATAAGCAAAACAGCGCGCTGGAAGACCTGGGGAAACTCCTGTTCCACCAACGGTCTTCCCGCCAAAAACGTGTAATGATCTTTTATATGTGCCACTATTCCCTCCCCTTTAGGCGGCGCCTGGATGCCGGGTGGCAGGCTCCAGATGGAGGTGGTCCTCAGATGGCAGTGGCTGCTCTCGAAGCGGGGCGAGTGGCTCCTCCCTCGGGCCGGCTCCTCCCTCGGGCAGCTTGCTGCCACGGCTGCTCTGCCGCTCCTGGCTCGGCTGCGACAGGCTGTGCCGGGGGCTGTGCCGCTCGGCTATGCCCCTTTTATCCATATCTTTATAGGCACATTTAAAGCTTACATTCAGAACTTGTTTAACATAGTAAGATATAGCTTTCCATAGTAACATAACATTGTGGTTTGACATTTGTAATTCAAACTAACCACTAACACTAACATTGCAAAGATAATTTGATTAGCAAATTATTTATCTTTGCCTTTATTAACTATTTCACTTCAAAAGGCAGCGGTCCCAGTGTCCCTGTCTTTCGGACGCCACTTGTTGACGGGGAGGCTCTGAGACATACATACACGATCCATGAGATCTAAAATATGTCCAATTTATTAGGATAGCTCAGGGTTTTTATAGCATCTGTATACAAGGTCTCGTGACAAGAAGCACATAATTGCTTACAGGTCACTGTCCAGATGTAAACATGCATTACAAATACCTTTATAATTGGTTATTAACAGGTAACAAGGCAATTATTTACTTTATCAAACTCCACCTTCTTCTTGGCACTGATTTCCTTCTGTTCTAGCAAAGACACCCGTGGCCATCTTGACACCTATAACTTTTAGTACCTATAAAACTATATGAAAGTTTATAAAAGTACCACACACAATATAAATTGCTCACACATTCATCATGTTCCTCCCACACAGCTCCTTTAGACACAAAGCATCACCTCAAAACAACTTTGACAGTTGCCAACAGGATTGAAATAGGGTTTTCTGGGGAAGATTTTGCTTTGTGTTTTTAAAAGTGCTACTTAGAAATTGCTCACTGCTGTCGGTCCCTCTTCTCCAATGCCAAATTCCCGGAGATTTTGAAGCTGATCCCATCTGGCTCCAAAATTCCCCCCGTGCTGGGATAAATTTCCCAGCTCCAGCCCCCACCCCAAGAGCCAGTGTTGGACCTGGGTGAGTTTTGAGAAAGTCAGAAACAACGTTGAGCTGCCAGTGGCTCTGCTTGGCTCCCTGGGCTGGAAAAAACCTGTTCCAGGAAGACTGTGTAGGCGAGGGGGGAAGACGCACGGCTGATGTCCGGGGGGATTTGGGATATTGGTGGGTTTTTTGGGGGATAATTGACCATCAACCAGTGCTGGGTGCTCGACTGGAGGGATGATGAGCCAGAGGGATGCTGCTTTTGGGGGGATGCTCAACCTGAAAGAGGCTCAGGCCCTTGACTGAGGGGTGCTTGGCTAGGGGAGGATGCTCTGGCAAAGGGATGCTCAGCTGGAGGGATGCTCTGTCACAGGGTTGCTTGGCTTGGTCAGCCAGAGGGATGCCTGGCTGGGGAGATGGTTGTCCAGGGGGATGTTCACCTGGAGGGATGCTTATCTGGGGGGGTGCTTGGCTTGTGGGATGATACCCCAGGGGGATGCTCTGCCTGGCAGAGGGATGCTCTGGCAGAGAGATGCTCAGCCAGAGGAATGCTGCCTTTGGGGGTGCTCAGCTGGGGGTATCTGCGCCCAAGGTGATGCCCTGGCAGGAAGGTGCAGCATTGTTGGGGTGTCCTGTGAAGGGCCAGGAATGGCACTTGGATGATCCCTGTGGCTCCCTTCTACCTCAGGATATTCTGTGACTCCAGGATAATTTATGCTTGGATGATCCCTGTGGCTCCCTTCTACCTCAGGATATTCTGTGACTCCAGGATAATCTATGCTGCCAACACCTGCCTTTCTCCTGAGATGGACAACGAACAGACGAGCAGCATTGGAAAAATAAGCATTTTTTTATTAACAAGTTGTGTTGTCTTCTCAGTCTTCTCAGTCTTCCCAGTCCACCTCCGTCATCCATTTCTTATCTCTCTTCATCATCCTCTTCAGGTCCGTCTCTGTCAACCTCTTATTGTCCATCTCCATTCTCCATTCCTTGTCTATCTCCATAATCTTGTCCTTGTCCATCTTCATGATCCTTTTGAAAACTCATCTGTCTTCTCCTTGTCCATTTCCACTTCTTGTCCTTCTTGTCCTCTTCTTGTCTGTCTTTATCATCGTCTCCTCCATCTCTGTCATCCTCTCCATTTCCATCTCCTCTATCCTCTCCATGTCCATCTCCATTATCCACTCCTGGTCTGTCTCTATTGTCCTGTCCTGCAAAGAGAGAGAGAGATCCAGTGAGCTGCTCCCTGCTTGGGGATCATCAGTCCTGATTCCAGGGTTGATCCAGATGATGGGATGTGAATCCTGGTTGCTCCATCGATCCAACTGCCCAGCTCTGGCCGATGGGATGTCCACTTGGCCTCCTCTGCAGGCCCGGCCATTGGCCCAGGGTAGGCTGGGATTAGGGCTTTCCTTCTCCTTGTCCATCTCCGTCATCCACTCCTTGTTAATCTCCACTGTTCTCTCATTGTCTCCATTGTCCTGTCCTGCAAAGAGAGAGAGAGAGATCCAGTGAGCTGCTCCCTGCTTGGGGATCATCAGTCCTGATTCCAGGGTTGATCCAGATGATGGGATGTGAATCCTGGTTTCTGCATCGATCCAGCTGCCCAGCTCTGGCTGATGGGATGTCCACTTGGCCTCCTCCTCAGGCGCGGCTGTTGGCCCTGGATGGGCTTGGACTGAGGTTCCCCTGCTCTGTGTCCATCTCCTTTGTCCTTCCCATGTGCAACTCATCCTCTATTAGTCCATCTCCATCATGTCCTAATTGTCCATCTCTGTTGTCCTCTCCGTGTCATTTTCCATTGTCTTCTTTCTGCCCATCTCCTCCATCCAATCCTCATCCATCGCTGTTATCCACTCCTTGTCTGTCTCCATTGTCCTGTCCTGCAAAGAGAGAGAGAGAGATCCAGTGAGCTGCTTCCTGCTGGGAGACCTTGAGTCCTGGTTCCAGGATTGATCCATCTGATGGGATATTAATCCTGGCTTCTGTGTTGATCCAGCTCTTGCTGAAGGGATGTCCACTTGGCCTCCTCCGCAGGCTTGGCCGTTAGCTCATGATGAACTGGGATTGAGGTTCCCCTGCTCCGTGTCCACCTCTGTTATCATTCCCATGTGCAACTCGTCCTCTATTTTTCCATCTTCCTTATGTCCTAGTTGTCTGTCTCTGTTGTCCTCTCCATGTCCATCTGCATTGTCCTCTTTTGTCCATCTCCTCCATCCAATGCTCATCCATCTGTTATCCACTCCTTGTCTGTCTCTGGTGTCCTGTCCTGCAAAGAGAGAGAGATGCAGTGAGCTGCTCCCTGCTGGGAGATCATCAGTCCTGGTTCCAGGCTTGATCCAGATGATGGGATGTTAATCCTGGTTTCTTGTTGATCTGCCTGCTCAGCTCTTTCTGAGGAGACCTCCACTTGGAGTCCTGCGCATGCTCAGCTGTAGGTCGTGGATTGTCTGGGATTGTGGTTCTCCTGTTTTGTGTCCATCTCCGTTGTCCTCCCCATGTTCATCTCCATTATTCCTTTCCTTGTCAGTCTCCTTCATCCTCTGGTTGACCACCTCTTCCATCATCTTTTTGTCCATCTCCACTGTCCTCCTGTCTCTGTTATCCACTCCTTGTCCATCTCTGTTATGCACTCCTTGTCTCTGTTGTCCTGTCCTGCAATGAGAGAGAGAGAGATGCAGTGAGCTGCTCCCTGCTGGGAGATCATCAGTCCTGGTTGCAGGGTTGATCCATCAGATGGAATGTTAATCCTGGTTCCTGTGTTGATCCAGCTGTGCAGCTCTGGCTGATGGGATTTCACTTGGCCTCTTCCAATCGTTAGCCCTGGATGGGCTGTGGTTTGGGTTCCCCTGTTCCTTGTCCATTTCTACTGTTCTCTATTTTTCCGTCTCCGTTTTCCTCTCGTTTTCACCTCTGTTTTCCTCTTTTTGTCCATCTCCATCGTGACCTCATTGTCCATCTCCCTTGTCCTCTCGTTGTCTGTCTCCGTGATCCACTCATTGTCCATCTCTGTTGTCCTGCCTTGCAAAGAGTCAAAGCGATCCAATGAGCTGCTCCCTGCTGGAAGAACATCAGTCCTGGCTCCAGTGTTGATCCAGCAGATGGGATGTTAGTCCAGAATCCAGCATCGATCCAGCAGTGCTGGTTCCCGTGTCAATGCAGCTGATGAGGTGTTAGTCTGTCACCATCTCTCTCGTCCTCTCCATGTCCAACTCCGTTGTCCTCTTTTTACCCATCTCCATCATGTCGTGATTGTCCATCTCCATTGGCCTCCCGTTATCCATCTCCTCCATCCACTCCTTGTCCATCTCCGTTATCCACTCCTTGTTTCCATTGTCCTGTCCTGCAAAGAGAGAGAGAGATCCAGTGAGCTGCTCCCTGCTTGGGGATCATCAGTCCTGATTCCAGGGTTGATCCAGATGATGGGATGTGAATCCTGGTTTCTGCATCGATCCAGCTGCCCAGCTCTGGCTGATGGGATGTCCACTTGGCCTCCTCCTCAGGCGCGGCTGTTGGCCCTGGATGGGCTTGGACTGGGGTTCCCCTGCTCTGTGTCCATCTCCTTTGTCCTTCCCATGTGCAACTCATCCTCTATTAGTCCATCTCCATCATGTCCTAATTGTCCATCTCTGTTGTCCTCTCCGTGTCATTTTCCATTGTCCTCTTTCTGCCCATCTCCTCCATCCAATCCTCATCCATCGCTGTTATCCACTCCTTGTCTGTCTCCATTGTCCTGTCCTGCAAAGAGAGAGAGAGAGATGCAGTGAGCTGCTTCCTGCTGGGAGACCTTGAGTCCTGCTTCCAGGATTGATCCATCTGATGGGATATTAATCCTGGCTTCTGTGTCGATCCAGCTCTTGCTGAAGGGATGTCCACTTGGCCTCCTCCGCAGGCTTGGCCGTTAGCCCTGGATGAACTGGGATTGAGGTTCCCCTGCTCCGTGTCCACCTCTGTTATCATTCCCATGTGCAACTCGTCCTCTATTTTTCCATCTTCCTTATGTCCTAGTTGTCTGTCTCTGTTGTCCTCTCCATGTCCATCTGCATTGTCCTCTTTTGTCCATCTCCTCCATCCAATGCTCATCCATCTGTTATCCACTCCTTGTCTGTCTCCATTGTCCTCTCCTGCAATGAGAGAGAGAGATGCAGTGAGCTGCTCCCTGCTGGGAGATCATCAGTCCTGGTTGCAGGGTTGATCCAGAGTCAGGATGTTAATCTTGGTTCCGGTGTTGATCCGGCTGCCCAGCTCTGGCTGATGAGATGTCCACTTGGTCTCCTTTGCAGGCCCAGTCATTGGCCCTGGCCAGGTTTGGACTGGGGTTCCTTTTCTCCATGTCCATCTGATTGTCCTCTTGTTGTCCATCTCTGTAGTCCTCTCACTATCCGTCTTTGCCATCCTCTCCTTGTTGTGTCCTCAGTGTCCATCTGCCTTGTCTTTTCCTCTCCATCTCCATCGTCCTCTTGTTGTCCGTCTCCATCATGTCCTAATTGTCCATCTTTGTTGTCCTCTCATTGTCTGTCTCTGGTGTCCTGTCCTGCAAAGAGAGAGAGAGATCCAGTGAGCTGTTCCCTGCTGGGAGATCATCAGTCCTGGTTGCAGGGTTGACCCATCAGATGGAATGTTAATCCTGGTTCCTGTGTTGATCCAGCTGTGCAGCTCTGATTGATTGGATGTCCAATTGACCTCCTCCTGCCATTGTTCCTCGATGAGCTGGGATTGGGTTTCCTCTTCTCTTTGTATGTCTGAGTTGCCCTCTTGTTGTCCATCTCA